ATGCCCAGCTAATTTTTGTTTATATATATATATATATAATAGTTGTTGTTTTTGTTTTGGAGAGACAGGGTTTTGCCATGTTTCTCAGGCTGGTCTTGAACTCCTAGGCTCAAGCAATCCACCCACCTGGTCCTCCCAAGGTGCTGAGATTTCAGGCATGAACCACCATGCCTGGCTAGTATATTCTACATTCATATATATATATATATTTTTTTTTTTTTTTTGAGACAGAGTCTTGCTCTTTCATCAGGCTGGAGTGCAGTGGCATGATCTCGGTTCACTGAAACCTCCATCTCCCGGATTCAAGCGATTCCCCTGCCTCAGCCTCCCAAGTAGCTGGGACTATGAACTCGCGCCACCATGCCTGGCTAATTTTTTGTATTTTAGTAGAGATGGGGTTTCACCATGGCCAGGATGAACGCGATCTCCTGACCTTATGATCCGCCCACTTCGGCTTCCCAAAGTGCTGGGATTACAAGTGTGAGCCACCGTGCCCAGCTATTCTACGTTATCTTATTTAATCTTCTCAGACACCTGTCTTGAGTTAGGGGAGTTATTATTAGGCCTTGTTGTTACCATTATCTCCAATTTTACAGACTAGGAAACTGAGGTGTGGAGAGAAGAGACACGTCCCCAGTCACACGGTTAGTGGCAGAGTTGCAACATAAACTCGTTTGCCTGACTCCAAGTTACTCCAGTTCCCCGCAGCCCCTCCAAACTGCGCCCGAAGACACACATGCTCACCTCTATCCCCTGCCTCCTTCCCCTTCCATCTTGCCACAGCCCTGAGGCCAGCCCCAGAGAGGTCATGCTGTCCATGCCCCTGCCTCTGCAGCGCAGTGGAGCCTCCATGTGGCCCTTATCTGCAGTTTATCTGGTCATGGTCCAGGAGAGGGTGACAGTGGGAAAGTCGGGGGAGTCAAGGGTGTCAGCTGCTGCTGCTTCTTTTTGAGCAAAGACTTTGAAAGTTTAATGTGATAATCTTATCCTGATCACTGCAAACTGAGGACCTTGGGCTTGTCCAAGAATCCATTACCTCACAGCCTCACACGAGGAGCAGGGAGGTTGCACTGGGTTCCCTACCTCCCAGCTCCCCCAATCCCCTTTCATGCTGGGAAGGATCTGAGTCTTGGTTGATTTTTTTTCTCAATGGAAAGAGGTGTTTCTTGATCATCGTAGAGATTCTAGGCTTCCCACCTTAGGACCTGGACCAGGAGACCCTGGCCCTTTCCTTTTACATCTGGCAATTTAATATCCTAAAAAGTGCGGCTGGTGGCCAGGCACAGTGGTTCATGCCTATAATCTCAGCAATTTGGGAGGCCAAGATGGGCAGATTACCTGAGGTCAGGAGTTCGAGATCAGTCTGACCAACAAGGAGAAACTCCATCTCTACTAAAAATACAAAATTAGCTAGGTGTGGTGGTGTATACCTGTAATCGAAGCTACTCTGGAGACTGAGGCAGGAGAATTGCTTGAACCCAGGAGGTGGAGGTTACAGTGAGCTGAGAGCTTGCCATTGTACTCCAGCCTGGGCAACAAGAGCGAAAAACTCCTTCTCAAAAAAAAAAAAAAAGTGAGTTGTGAGGCCGGTCAGAAGGCGTAGAAAATCAGCACAGTCAGGGACCCCCGACCCTCATATACCCTCACCCCAGTACACCACCAGGGAAACTGAGGCCTGTTACTTTTTTCTCCACATCATCTCTGCCCAGAAGCAAACCAATTAGCACCAGTTCTGATTCTGTGTTCCCAGCGCCTGTCTCATTATTTGGGTATTTATGTCCCGGTCACTGTGAAGGACGACTGTCCCGGTTTCCATTGGGGGAGGCTGGCCAGCGCTGGAGCCCAGCGGTGGCAGGAGTGGTGCCGTCCTGCTTGGGGCAGGATGGGGATTTGATTTCAGGGGGATTTGTAACCAGTGGGGAGTCGCCCTGGGCACACGGTGGCTCTGGGCTATTTTAGGAGGCAAAACGTTGGGGGAGGGGTCACAGATGACTTGTTCAAGCCACTGGAGAGCCTGTGCCCTTTCAGTGGGAGCAGAAAGGACCCATGATGGGTGGGGTGGGGCAGGCCCATCCACCGTTGGGGCCTTTCCCACCCTCTTAGAGCCCAGGGGCCCAGAATGATGCCATCCTCCTAGCAACAGTCTGGGCTGTGGGCCCAGCAGGGAAGCTGTTGGCTGGGCCAGGGTCTCTGGCTCCTTGCCTGAGCCCCTTTGCTGTAGGCTTTGCTTCAGCTGGGGCCCTTAGTGTTATTATTATGAATAATTCTTTTAACTACCTCTTATCTTTGTAGTAGACATTTTATTTATCAAACATTTGGAGAAGGCCCCAGGAGCAAGAAAAAAGGACCCAGCCTTCAATCCAGCGCTATCAACTCCTGTTCTTTATGGGCCTCTTCCAAGCTGTGTAATGTTGCCTGCCTAAGTCCCTTCATCTCTCTGAGCCTCAATGTCCCTCTCTCTAAAGCTGGGACCAGCAACGCCTAATAAATGACGCCCTGTTATGAGCTGGGCACATATTATATGGGGGACTTTGCAGGCATGACATCACATCATCCTCTACGCTGTTAAGTATTAACTGCCCTGTGTTAGAGATAAGGCAGTGGAAGCTCAGAGAGGGGAAGTAACTTGCCTAAACTCACACAGCCAGAGCAAGGCACTTGATTCATTTCCCTTGCACCCACAGTGAGAGTTAGTTCATTCCTCAAACCTGGCAATATGTCTTGGTTACTTTCTGTGTGCCAGGCACTGTTCTAGGGCCTAAGAGTCATCCACAGACAAAACAGAGGAAGAGGAGATAGTGGATGAGACGGGCCAGTAGTGAGAGCTGGAATGGCCAAACTGGAGACTCAGAGGCTTTATTTAGACTAAGTGTCATTTTCTGGAGGGGGAGCAATATTTCAGGGGCCTGAATCCCTCACTGGGCAAGTGGAAGGTGGACCAGGGAGGGCCGGCACCACCTGGCACCCCCAGCTCTCCATTACCAGGAAGAGCTTTTCCGTTTGTTCTTCGTCTTCGCCCCACCTTTGTAGGAAAAAAGTCACTGGGTATATTGGGATAAGGCCTTAAGAGGCACCATGGTTAAAGGAGAGAGCCTAGATTTTGGAGTCATCTGATGGGGTTCAAATCACACTCTGCCCCTTTCTTTTTCTTTTCTTTTCTTTTTTTTTTTGAGATAGAGTTTTGCTCTTATTGCCCAGGCTGGAGTGCAAGGGCAGGATCTCAGCTCACTGCAACCTCCACCTCCTGGGTTCAAGCAATTGTCCTGCCTCCAGCTCCCAAGTAGCTGGGACTATACCACACCCAGCTAATTTTTTTGTATTTTTAGTAGAGATGGGGTTTCTTTTTATTTATTTTTTTTTTTTGAGATGGAGTCTCACTCGGTCACCCAGGCCAGAGTGCAGTGGCACAATCTTAGCTCACTGCAACCTCCACTTGTGGGTTCAAGAAATTCTCCTGCCTCAGCCTCCCGAGTAGCTGTGATTACAGGCATGTGCCACCACACCCACCTAATTTTTGTGTTTTTAGTAGAGATAGGGTTTCACCATGTTAGTCAGGCTGGTCTTGAACTCCTGACCTCGTGATCCACCTGCCTCGGCCTCTCAGAGTGCTGGGATTACAGGCGTGAGCCACCACACCCGGCCTCACTCTGCTCCTTTCTAGCTCTGTGGCCTTGAGTGGGTAAGTTAACTTCTCAGAGCCTCCCTCTCCTTATCTTCAAAATCAGCAGAGTAGCAGCAAACTTTCAGGGTTATTGGAGGCTGAAATGAGTGGGAAAAGGCGTGGGAAGGATCTGGCATGCAGAAGACTAGAGATAGACAGCAGTGTTTTGCCTGCGTGCAGGGCTGGAGTGTAGGGGTGTGTTATTCCTAGGTATCTAGGTGAAGCCACGTCTTTGTGGGTGGCACTAAGCTGGCACCTGTGGTCCTGCTGAATGATTTCAACAGGCTGAGCAGAACAGGAGAGCCAGCAAGTCCAAACATAAGGTCTGGGCCTCCCAGTTCAGGAAACCAGCACTCACTCGGGGGCTGGGCTGGCGAGGCTGAACTCACAAGCGCATCCCATGGAAATAGACCTGGGGGTTTCAAGGACCCTCAGCTCTAGGTAGAGCTAGTCCAAGGCTGAAGAAAAGTTGAGGGGTAGGCAGCATTAACAGAGGAGGACAGAGGTAGGGAAAGGTTGTGCTGTCCCTTGTTCTGTTCTAAAGAGGATACCAAAAGCCTAAAAGAGTTTAGAGGGATGTAACTGGGATAATAAAACACCGGGAAACCATTTATTCCACACATTTTTTTTTTTTTTTGAGACAGAGTCTTGCTCTGTCGCCCAGGCTGGAGTTCAGTGGCACGATCTCGGCTCACTGCAACCTCTGCCTCCCGGATTCAAGTGATTCTCCTGTCTCAGCCTCCTGAGAAGCTGGGATTAGAGGCACACACCACCACGCCCAGCTAATTTTTGTATTTTTAGTAGAGACAGGGTTTCACCATGTTGGTCAGGCTGGTCTGGATCTCTTGATCTTGCAATCCACCTGCCTTGGCCTCCCAAAGTGCTAGGATTACAGGCAAGAGCCACCATGCCCGGCTTATTCAACACATTTTTAACTGAGTGGTTAAGATCAGGTCAGTTGGTTACCATGCAAGGTATCGGGCAAAAGAAATGAATGAAGGCCCAAAACTACCCTGGGGGAGGGGCCCTCAGTATAGCTGGGTAGCCAAAGCAAGGTCTGAGGGAGACAGTTTAAGGCAGTGTGATAAAGGCACTGTTAGGGTCCCATACAAGGTGCCCTGGGAGCACATACGAGGAGGAGGCACATCTTCAAAGGCTTCCTGGAGCAAGTGGCCATGTCAGGGGAAGAATAGTTGAGGCAAATGGGTCTCTTCAGCTGGGAGAAGCGCCCCTTTAGGATGAAGCTGTGTTTCTCTGACTGTGGAAGGTGGAGGGTGCTTTTTCTGTGTTACCAGGCAGCAGTTCTAGGACCAGCACGCAAGCATTATCGGGAAACAGGTTCCAAAGCCCCATTTTAATGAGTATTAGCATCATGGAATGGGCCATCTTGTTAGGTAGTGATCTCCCCATCTCTGGCATGTTCAAGCAGACGCCAGAGAGTACTTTGTCAAAGCTGCTACAGAAGGGACAGGATGACGTCTAAGATTCCTCCAAGCCCAAGCAACTGCGGTTTTCCATGGACAGCGGCCGGACGTGGGCTGTGATGGACAGCAGTGTGAGCAGATTAAGTTAGAGGATTCGTGTGCAGTGCTACACTGAGGTACACATGGTGCACCAGGACAGTCCTCCCACCCTGGGTTTACTTTTAAAAAACATGCTTTATTGAAATGTAATTTGCATACTATGCAATTCACCCATTTAAAATGTACAATTGTGGATTTACCTAAAAAGTGGAAATGGTTTTGTTATTAATTCAACAACTATTTATTGAGTACCTATTAGGTATGCAATACGCTTTGCACTGGTGCTCCAGACCACTGGGAAATAAAGGCCTTGCCCTCATGAGGGAGACAGGTCAGGGTCCAAACAAAAGAATTACAACCCGGAAGATACACTAAGAGGGTGGTAAACAGAGTCTGAGACAAAGCGTAATGGAGCTGGGGAAAGTGGGGCCTGGAGATGTAACATTTAAGCTGGGGGCTGAGTGATAAGGAGATATCTCTGAATGTCAGGAGGATGTTCCAGGCTGAGGGGATAGAAGGGGCACGGCCCAAGGCAAGGGTGAGTTGGTGGATGGGTGGACCAGGCTGGGAGATTTGGTGGCATCCCTGGGGCCCCCCACGTGGGGCCTTCTCTCCGCATGACCTGGTCCCCAGGAGGCATGCCCCAGTGCAAGGCAGGGGAGCGGCACCACCACTTCTTTGGCTGCAAGAGCCCTCTCTGTCCACTTTCCTTGGCTCTTTCTTGCTCTCTTACCCTGATATTGTTTCTTCAATAACAAAATGGTGGCAGGGATCTGAGGAGGTCATGCCACCAACCTCTGCCTCTTGCCCTCCCTGGGTGGCTCCGTGCCCCCTGTGTGCCGGACCTGTGCTGTGATCCCCTGGGACGAATCGGAAAGGACTCCCAGCCACACACACTGGTGAGGTCTCCCTGGCAGATTCTGGCAGTCTCCCCTGACCTCCAGAGACAGTGCCTAGGAGCAGCTTGGAGTCTCCCATTTGGTGCCCACTTCCTGTGTGACTTTGGATTCAGTCACTTAAGGTCCACAGTCTTTTTTTTTTTCTTCTTGAGATGGAGTCTCACTCTGTTGCTCAGGCTGGAGTGCAGTGGTGCAATCTCAGCTCACTGCAATCTCTGTCACCCAAGTTCAAGTGATTCTCCTGCCTCAGCCTCCCAAGTGGCTGAGATTACAGGCGCCTGCCATTGTGCCCAGCTAATTTTTGTAGTTTTTTAGTAGAGACGGGGTTTCACCATGTTGACCAGGCTGGTCTTGAACTCCTGACCTTGTGATCTGCCTGCCTTGGCCTCCCAAACTGCTGAGGTTACAGGCGTGAGTCACTGCACCTGGCAGTTTTTTTTTGTTTTGTTTTGTTTTTTTTGAGACGGAGTTTCACTTTTCTTGCCCAGACTGGAGTGCAGTGGCACGATTCCACTTCCTGGGTTCAAGCGGTTCTCCCACCTCAGCCTCCTGAGTAGCTGGGATTACAGGAGTGTGCCACCACCCCTGGCTAATTTTTGTATTTTTAGTAGAGATGGGGTTTCACCATGTTCTTTCTGCACGCTGGTCTCGAACTCCTGACCTCAAGTGATCTACTTGCCTTGACCTCCCAAAGTGCTGGGATTACAAGCGTGAGCCACCGCCCTGGCCTAGGTCCCCATTCTTTCGTTTCCTGGTCTGTGAAATGGGGAGAGAGGTTCTGAGGTTTGAATGTGATCCCCCCCCCCCCCCGGCACCCAGCAGGTGGTCCATGAATGTCAACTTCAACTTCCTCCTACCGCTGGAGTTTCCTCCCAAAAGAGGGCCCAGCTGGCGGGGGCGGGGCGGGGGGGAAGTGAGTGCCGGCGGGGCAGGGGAAGGCAGCCAGTTTGGGGTCCCTTTCCCTGAACTCTAGGACCCCTAGGGAGCCCTCAGGTACGCTGCGCCTGGTTAGCCAGGGTTAGGCGGGATACTCACCCGTGAGTCCAGCTCTTCAGCCAGGGGAGTCCCCGAATCTCCCCTCTCTTCCTCCTACCCGGGGAGCCCCACCGCCGAGCCCCTGTCCCGCCGCGGCTCTCCTGGGCAGACCGGGGCGGCGCGGCTCCTGGCACCTGCTCCCGCAGGGCCGCCCGGGGGCGGGCTCGGAGACGCGGCGGCTGCCCCGGGACGCGCAGGGCCGGGAGCTGCGACTCAGGACCGCCCCGGGCGGCCGCGGGCGGCTGGACGCAGCCGGGTTTGTCCTGAGCGCTCTCCAGGTAGGTGCGGGCGCCGGACTCAGGCCGGCACTCCACGCTGCCCATCCCGGACCCACGCGCTGCGGGGGCAGAGCCGGCGGGAGGGGGCCCGCCGCGTGCTCAGGGCGTAGGTGACTCTGCAGGGCTGGGGACCGCGGCGGGGGCCCTGCTCGCCTGGTGACCTGGGAAGAACCGCAACTTAACCGGAAATTGAGGTCTAGAGGACAGCAAGGGTGATGGCTAGAAGGACTTTCAGCTCCCATTAGGAGGAGGGAGGGAGAGAGGGTGAGACTCCCGCCCTTCTCCCACCCACCTGAAGGAGGGGACCATTCTTCGGAGACAGCGAGCTCGGCCAAATAACCCACAGTCTTTTCTTAAGAAGTTTAGAGAATCCAAAAGTTGATCCACCCCTATCAACACTGAGATGGAATAGAATGGAAGAGGTGGGGGAGGGAAAAGCAACAATGATCTTTTGGGGGGGTGCAAAGAGTAGTCCTGCCCCTACCCTCCACCTGATTCACTGTCTTTGGAGGCGTTCCTGTCCTGCCCCTTCCTGCCCCCAACGTGCAGAATGCCTCAGCTTCAGCAAGGGGTATGGGGGGGCGTGACCGGAGCACTCCGCTCCCACCCACAACTCAGGAACTGTCCCAGGAGCTCCCAACCCTCAACTCTCCCAATCACCACTTGGAAGCGATGACTATCAGGAGGCAGGGAGGGGTGTTCAAGGGAGCTCCCCTTCTGGGTCCTATGGAATTGGGCAGGGAGAGCAGGCAAGGGATAAAACCAGGCTGTACCAGAATCCTGAGCCCTAGTGCTCCTAGGAGAGGGTGTGGGGATCCTGTGAGCGGGATCGGGGCAACAGGTCAGATTTCTTGGCCTTTGCTTAGTAGCAGAGGCAAGGACAAGGGGGTATGGAGACAACCCACCTTAGAGGCAGCTGCTCTTGTGTTGTCACCGTCCGTGCAAGGAGAGATGCAGGTTAGACCGCAAGAAGGACTTCCTTCCTGATGGTGGGGTCTTTGGGGGAGTCTCAGTGGCCAGCCAACGCAGGCCCTGTCTTTGGGGGTGTCAGGAGGGACTGAGGCCCTCTGGAGGATGTAGACAACCAGGGGTGACAGAACAGACCAGGGAGGGGAGGAGGTGGGGGACAGTGACATCACCTCTGGACCATCCTGCTCCCTCTCCTCCGGTGCCCTCTCTCCATTCCTTGGAGCTGGAGTGTTGACTTTCAGCAGCTCAATCCTGAAATCCCCAGCACCTAGAAGGTGACAGACTTCCTCTGTCACCACTTCAGATGGGAAGACAGACACGGCTGCCTTGGGTGTGCCTAGTGGAACCCTCACCTGGCACCTGTACCAGCTGTTGCCCAGTCTCTGGGCCTCCTGCTCTGGCAAAGCAGGGGCATGTGTGCTGGGGCTGGCACAGGTGACTCACCTCCTCTGGATCCTCTGAGGGCATTTCAGAGAGTGGCCCTGGGTGACCCCAGCTCCCTGGGCCCACGGAATCGCTGGGGTGGGTGCCACTCTGTGGCAGCCACACCACTGAAGAGGGCTGGGTTCCCCTTCCTTGCCCCAGGAAGGTGTCTGTGCTGGGAGAGGGCAGTGGGGAGGTGGCAGGGTGGAGAAGCCAGAATGCTCAGTGGCGGTCCCTCAGGGGCACTCAGCGGGTACCCAGGCCCAGGAGGGCTCTCACTCTGCTAGGACAGGAACAGATCAGACTTCTCTTCTTCCAGGTGCTTCTCTCCGCAGCTGGGCTTGCCGGGAGGGTCTGGGTTCCACACTCCTGCCTGTGACCCCATGAATGACTGGGTTGGGGGCTCCAAGGCCCTTACTCGCTGCCCTTGCCTCATAGAATGGAGAAGACTTGGCCCTACCTACTTGCCTCTCTTTGTGACACTGAGGCTCAGTTGCCTCAGGTGTCAAGCCCCAAAGGACTGTTCTGAGGATTCATGGAGGCGATGCTTCTGTTGTGCCCAGGGGGTAAGAGGCACTTGCCAAGATTCATATACTTTGGCTTCCACCCACTTCCACCTTAGCAGCAGCTTCTCTGTGTGGCCACTCCAATTCACCCTGTAAAGGACTCAGAAGCCCAATCCCCTCTCTTATTTTTTTGAGATGGAGTCTCACTGTATTGCACAGGTTGGAGTGAAGTGGCGCGATCTCGGCTCACTGCAACCTCTGCCTCAGCCTCCTGATCATAGGCACCTGCCACCACGCCCGGCTGGGATCACAGGCACCTGCCACCACGCCCGGCTGGGATCACAGGCACCTGCCACCATGCCCGGCTAATTTTTGTGGTCTTAGTAGAAATAGGGTTTTCTCATGTTTCAGGCTGCTCTCAAACTCCTGACTTCAGGTGATCCACTTGCCTTGGTCTTCCAAAGTGTTGGGATTACAGGTGTGGGCCACCACTCCTGGCCTATTATTTTTATTTATTGATTTATTAATTTTTTTGAGACAAAGTCTTGCTCTGTTGCCAGGCCAGAGTGCAGTGGCGAAATTTTGGCTCGCTGCAACTTCCACCTCCCGGGTTCAAGCGATTCTCCTGCCTCAGTCTCCTGAGTGGCTGGGACTACAGGCGCCCACCACCACGCCCGGATAATTTTTTTGTATTTTAGTAGAGACGGGGTTCCACCATGTTGCCACAATGGTCTCAATCTCCTGACCGCATGATCCACCCGTCTCAGCTTCCTAAAATGCTGGGATTATAGGCATGAGCCACCGTGCCCAGCAATTTTTGTATTTTTAGTAGAGACAGGGTTTCATCATGATGTCCAGGCTGGTCTTGAACTCCCAACCTCAGGTGATCCACCCATCTTGGCCTCCCAAAGTGCTTGGATTACAGGCGTGAGCCACTACACTTGGCCCTCTCTCTTTAAAGACAGGAAACCAAAGCCCAGCGGGGCAGGTTCTGGCTCAAGGTTGGCTATCCAGCCAGCCTGGCCTGGTCTTGGAAGTAGGCTGGGGAGGTGGGAGTGTGGCTGTTGGCTGACATGGAGGAAAATGCCAGAGTGTGATTCGGCTTGTTAAGGGTTTGAGGAGGGAGCCCTTCATATTCTGCCAAAGGCTGGGGACAGGCCTCGAACCTTTCTCTCCAGTTTCCTCTTTGTGAGAAGCAGCCTTTCAGGCTGCAGCAGAAACAACCCTCTGCTGCCTGCTTTCTGGCCTCCATAGTCCTCTCCATCCAGCCGTCTCTGGATAGACAGGCAGGGAATCCCATCACCTCACGGTGGCCAAAGACCTCATGGAAACCCAGGGACCTGATGTGCACTTGTCACCCAGCCAGCAGTGGTGGAGATGGGACCTCAGAGCCCTGCCCAAGTGCTCCCCCCACTCCACCCCCCAGCTCCACATTGACAAACACACAGGCAGACAGGCAGACAGAACCTGGGCTACACAGCTCTCCAGCGCAGGTGGTGTGAGCCTACCTTCAAGTGGGTGGCTCCCTCCCAGGGCCCAACCCCCTCCCTCTCTGCAGCAGTCTCAGCCCATTTCTCAGGGAAGATGGGGATAAGAGAGATTTAGCCTGCTTCCTGTAGAAATCTCAGACACACAGACAGACAGATGGGTACATGCATGTTCTTATCCCCTGCTTTCTGCTTGTCCTTCCTCCCTACCTCTTTGGCTCTGGCCCCACCTCTTTCTGCCCAGGGTGTGTCCCTCTCTGCCTGGCACTGGGCCTGATAGGCCCTGCACGCCCTGCCCCTCCCAGGAGCTCTTCTCGGAATCTGTGGCCCCCTCCCCACCCATCAGTTCGGGTCAGGGCTCGGCAGGCTTTAAGCAGAGGTGGGATAGGGCAGTGGACAAGGACTTGGACTTTGAGTTCAGGTCCAGCTACAGAACCTCCCAGAGGCTGTTCTCTAATCATCTATGCAGTGGGATAACAGGTTAATCATGGTGCTCATTTCATGGAATTGTGACTTTTTTTTTTGTCAATAAGTTTAGATTTTATTATATACTTCTTTTTTTTTTTTTGAAGGAGAGAAGGAAAGAAAGAAAAAAGGAGTGAAGGAGAGGAAGAAAGAGGAAGAAAAAGAGGGAGAGAGGACGGGAATATTGCTTTATTCTAAAAATGGGTATTAATAATGGCCAATCAATAGTTTGTATATTTAAAGTGAAGAATGTATATTTTGTGTATTTAAAATGGAGAGCTCTATAAATATTTATTAAGTTTACTTGTTCCGGATCTGAGTTCAAGTCCTGGTTGTCCTCATCAATTTTCTGTCTCGTTGAGTCTAAATCTCTTTATGGGTCTTATGTATCTGGGTGTTAGGGTCGTTAGCTCTTATTGTTGCATTGATCCTTTTACCACTGTATCTTTGTGGCTTTAAAATCTATTTTATCAGATGCGAGAATTGCAACTCCTGCTTTTTATTTATTTATTTATTTATTTTTGCTCTTCATTCAGTTGCTTAATCTTTCTCCATCCCTTTGTTTGGAGTCTTTGTGTATCTTTGGATGTGAAATGGGTCTGGATGTAGCATATCGTTAGGTTTTGGCTGTATCTTTTGACTGGGGGATTTAGTCGACTTAAATTTAAGGTTACTGCCATTTGATGTTAACTGGCTATTTTATTCATTCGTAGATATAAATTCTTCTTTATGTTGATGCTCTTTACTTTTTGGTATATTTTTAGAAAGGCTAATACTGGTTGTTCCTTTCTATGTATAATGCTTCTTTCAGAAGCTCTTGTAAAGCAGGCCTGGTGGTAATAAAATCTCTGAGTACTTGCTTGTTCATAAAAGATTTTATTTTTCCTTCAGTTGTGAAGCTTAGTTTGGCTGGATATGAAATTCTGGGCTGAAAGTTCTGTTCTTTAAGGATGTTGAATATTGGCCCCCACTCTCTTCTGGCTTGTAGGGTTTCTGCTGAGAGAGCTGCTGTAAGTCTCATAGGCTTCCCTTTGTAGGTAACCTGACCTTTCTCTCTGGCTGCCCTTAGTATTTTCTCCTTCGTTTCAACCCTGGTGAATCTAACGATTACATTCCTTGGGGTTGCTCTTCTTGAGGAATATCTTTGTGGTGTTCTCTGTATTACCAGGGGTTGAATATTGTCCTGCTTTGCTAAATTGGGAAAGTTTTCCTGAATAATATCCTGAAGAGTATTTTCCAGCTTGGATTCATTCTCTTCGTCACATTCAGGTACACCTATCAAACGTAAATTAGGTCTTTTCACATAGTCCCATATTTCTTGGAGACTTTGCTCATTCCTTTTTATCCTTTTTTCTCTATTCTTGTCTTCTCGTTTTATTTCATTAAGTTGGTCTTTGACCTCTGATATCCTTTCTTCTGCTTGATCAATTTGGCTATTCAAACGTGTGCATATTTTGCTAAGTTCTCGTGTTGTGTTTTTCAACCCCATTAGTTCATTTATATTCCTCTCTATATGGTCTATTCTTGTTAGCATTTCGTCAAACCTTTTTTCAAAGTTCTTAGTTTCTTTACATTGGGTTAGAACAAGTTCTTTTAACTCCCAGAAGTTTCTTATCATCCACCTTCTGAAGCCTACTTCTGTTAATGGCACACAGTCCTTCTCCATCAGGGCTTGTTCCACTGCTGATGAGGAACTGTAATCCCCTGTAGAGGAAGAGGGGTTCTGATTTTGGGTATTCTCAGCCTTTTTAGGCTGGTTTCTTCCCTTTGTTAGAAATTTATCCATCTGTCATCTTTATAATTACCGCCTTTCTAATTAGGTTTCTGAGTGGATGTCCAGTTTATTGATTCCCAGCGCTGGAATCCGAGCAACCCACTGCGCTGGCCAAAACAGCAGCGTTAAGACTGATGGTGCTCTTCTGCCCAGGAATCTCTGGTCTGGCTTTCTTCTTGAGTCCGTAATAAGCAGCTCTGCCTTCTTGGAGCTCCAAACATCAGTCACAAGGGTAACCAGTTCCGTTTACTCTGCATGAAAAGCTGCCGCGCCGAGGCACTGGCAAAACCACTGCGCCGGCCACAAGAGTTGCACTGGCGACCCGTGGGGCTACTCCACTGGGAATCTTCTGGTCCATGAGTGACGAAAATTCATCTGAAAGTGTGGCGTCCTCTTGTTCTCTGCACTTTCACTGGGAGCTACAATCCTGAGCTGTTAGCGATCAGCCATCTTGGATCAGATTTTGGAATTGTGACATTTAAGAGAGATCCTGTCTGGGCATGGTGGCACATGCCTGTAATCCCAGTTACTTTGGAGGCTGGGGCAGGAGGTTCACTTGAGCCCTAGGAGTTTGAGGCCAGCCTAGAGCCTGGGCAACATGGTGAAACCCCATTCCTACACCTTAAAAAGAAAAAAGACCCTAGGTGCCAAGCACCTGGCCCACAATAAACCCTCAATAAATGGGGTTGTTATTTCATAAAGAAGAGGTGGCATAAGCAGCTGGGAGGCAAAAAGAAAGACAGAGAATCTGGCCAGGCAAGGTGGCTCACACCTGTAATCTCACTTTGGGAGGCTGAAGCAGGTGGATCACCTGAGGTCAGGAGTTCGAGACCAGCCTGACCACCACGGTGAAACCCTGTCTCTACTAAAAATACAAAATTAGCCAGGCATGGTGGCAGGCTCCTGTAACCTCAGCTACTTGGGAGGCTGAGGCAGGAGAATTGCTTCAACCCGCGAGGCGGAGGTTGCAGTGAGCTGAGATTGCACCATTGAACTCCAGCCTGGGTGACAGAGCAAGACTCCATCTAAAAATAAAAAAGAGAGAAAGAGGCCAGGCGCGGTGGCTCACGCCTCTAATCCCAGCACTTTGGGAGGCCGAGGTGGGTGGATCACGAGGTCAAGAGATAGAGACCATCCTGGTCAACATGGTGAAACCCTGTCTCTACTAAAAATACAAAAAATTGGCCAGGCGTGGTGGCTCAAGCCCGTAATCCCAGCACTTTGGGAGGCTGAGGCAGGAGAATTGCCTGAACCCAGGAGGCGGAGGTTGCTGTGAGCCGAGATCACGCCATTGCACTCCAGTCTGGGTAACAAGAGCGAAACTCTGTCTCAAAAAAAAAAAAAAAAAAAAAAGAGAGAGAAAGAAAGACAGGGAATCTTCTAGAATCAGCTCTTGCATCATCTTTCCATTTGCTTTGAAGCAAGTCCACTGCCCTGCTCTGGGACTCAGTTTCCCCATCAGCTCAAGGCAGCACGTGGACTAGGTCCTGTCCAACTGTAGGTCCAGGATCATGTTGGCTCTGCATAGGGGCCAGGGTTGGGGATACCAAGCTGCCAATGCTCAGGGCAGGGTTAGACAGACCTGTGTGCCCCTGTCATTGCCCACCCCTCCACATTTTCTGACTGGGCTCCCCTAGCTTAGCTGGGGCAGTGTGGCTCCTAAGGGGACAGCTGGGAAGGCTGGGTCAGGCAGGGCAGGCTTCTGCAGGCCCAGCAGCCTGGCTAGGGGACACAATTAGCCTGGAATCCAGGCGGCCCCGTGAGCCCAGAGGCTATATATCATAGAGGTTTAATCAGCTGTGTGGCAGATATTTGCTCTCTTGGGCCATGTCCCCGGCCTGCCTGTCATAAATTGCATTGAGATTTCAAAATACCCCTGTGCCCATGCTGGCGGGGCAGGCAGCTCTTCTTGGTGTGGCCAGGAAAATCTCATTCCTTTGAAGCCTCCACCCCAGTAATTGGACCCCCCCCACCTTTTTCTCCACACCCCTGCAACACTTGCACCTAAGACCTTCCTGCCTCCTGCTTGGAGGGTTGGGGAGGATGTGGAAAGGCAGGGGAGTCTCTGTGATGACCTCCATCTAGAGGTGAGAAGGTGCAAAATATTGGTGGGGGGCTCCATGCAGCAATGGGGGCCTTCTCATAATGGCAGTGACGTCCAGTGTGCCCTTTGTGGGAAGAGCTGTACCCTGGACCCGTGGCATGGCTCCAGGAGACAGCTTTGTTGCCCCTCGGGTGTGGGGGACTGGGGTCTGTCCTGCCAGGGGGTACCGAGTCTTCGCCTACCTTCCCACTGGATGTTTGATGCGCCACCTGGAGGCTATCTCTGGTACTGCCGCCCAGCCACAACACCCAGCACAGATCAGGGTCAGATCCATGGTGTGCTAATTTGCTAGGGCTGCCATACATAGGTTGGGTGGTACTTAAGAAGATGGACAGGCACGGTGGCTCACGCCTGTCATCCCAGCACTTTGGGAGGCTGAGGTGGGCAGATGGATCACAAGGTCAAGAGATCAAGACCATCCTGGTCAACATGGTGAAACCTGTCTCTACTAAAAATACAAAAATTAGCTGGGCATGGTGGCACACACCTGTAGTCCCAGCTACTTGGGGGCTGAGGCAGGAAAATCGCTTGAACCCAGGAGGCGGAAGTTGCAGTGAGCTGAGATTGCACCATTGCACTCCAGCCTGGCAACAGAGCAAGACTCCATCACAAAAAAAAAAAAAAAAAAGAGACACCCATCATATGAATTAGGGCTCACCCATATGACCTCATTAACTTAATCACCTCTTTGAAGATCCCATCTCCAAACAGAGTCACTTTCTAAGGTCCTGGGGGTGATTACTTCAACATATGCATTTTTAACAGTTTATTTATTTATTTATTTTGAAACAGTCTCGCTCTGTCGCTAAGGCTGGAATGTAATGGCCTGATCTCAGCTCACTGCAACCTTCACCGCCTGAGTTCAAGCGATTCTCCTGCCTTCTGAGCAGCTGGGATTACAGGCATGTGCCACCACATCTGGCTTATTTTTGTATTTTTAGTAGAGACAGGGTTTCACCATGTTGGTCAGGGTGTACTGAACTCCTGACCTCAAGTGATCTGCCTGCTTCAGTCTCCCAAAGTGCTGTAGTTATAGGTGTGAGCCACCGTGCTTGGCTAACGTATGCATTTTTTTTTTTTAATTTTCAGGCCCATACTGGCTAAACATATGCATTTTGAGGGACACACTTCAGTACATAACAGGAGAGATGGGCTCAGTCATGACTCGCCCAGGCCCTAGCCTTGGGGTTGCCCCAGCCTGAGGGAGAGACACAGACCTTGCTCTCAGGAAGCCCCCGTCTGAAGCAGAGCCAGGAAGCATGCGCACAAATTTTGGAGAGAAGGCAAAATTCACTGAGCAGCCCCAGAATAGAAATGGTTAGAGGCAGTACTTCAGGGAGGGCAAGTTTCAGAGCACGGGCGAGCGAGACCGCATGCGCATGGGGTGGGGGCGTGGCTGTGTTCAGCGACCCAGGCAGCAAGGCTCAGGTCTCTACTGAAACCACCAACTGTTGCCTCAGCCGTGGTGGCCAAGACAGCAAGGGGCATCTGGAGCCACGTGAAGCAGGGGTTGGGATGGTTTCACATACTGTCACCATGCGTGAATGTCACCCTGCTGGGTGCAGGGCACAGGAAGATTTTGTTTTTGGCTGGCGGCTGCTGTCTCCAGTAAGCACCACATGCCTGGCTGTCAGGATTGTCAGCGCTTGCTGCAGAGCTGAGAACAGGACTCTCGCTTCCCCAAATCTGACTCAGCTGGCCTTGCCGCTGCCTCTCCCTCAGTGCCCACCTTTCCTCCAAGACCCAAGTCCCCGTCTCTGAGCTTTGTTCTGTGGCCCTCCGAGTCCCCAGGTGTTTTGGCCTCCTTGTGTGTAGATATGTTGGACACCCCTCCAGAGAGTCCCAAGTTTTATTTTGTTTTTTTTCTTTCTGAAATGGAGTTTCGCTCTTGTTGTCCTGGCTGGAGAGGAATGGCACCCGATCTTGGTTCACTGGAAACTCTGCCTCCCATGTTCAAGCGATTCTCCTGCCTCAGTCTTGAGAGTAGCTGGGATTATAGGCATGCACCACCACGGCTTGCTAATTCTGTATTTTATTTTTATTTTATTTTTTAGTTTTTTAAAGACAGGGTTTCACCATGTTCGTCAGGCTGGTCTTGAACTGACCTCAGGTGATCCACCTGCCTCGGCCTCCCAAAGTGCTAGGATTACAGGCATGAGCCACTGCACCTGGCTGAGAGTCCCAAATTTTAATGCTGCTTTGCTTGAAATAGACCCCATTATTCTCCCTTCCACCATCCTCGGGCTGGGGTGTTTCAGAGCGATATGGAATAATACAGAGCTCCACCATCTCCAGCCCCTCCTGCTCCCTCTAAGTATTCACAACCATTTGGCCTTCATTCATTTGTCTCCCTCTCTATCCACTCAGGTATGAAGCGGCCACTGAGCCCATCCCCACCGGGTGGGAAAGAGCCCCCCATATCTGGAGCTGCTGAGTGTTCCCCTCGGCCCCCAGAACCACCTAAGTCCAAGCGGGAAAGAAAGCGGCCATCTTACACGCTCTGTGATGTCTGCAACATCCAGCTGAACTCAGCGGCCCAGGCCCAGGTGCACTGCGGGGGGCGGGCCCACCAGAGGCGGCTTCGACAACTCAGCTTGGGGAAGAGCCCCTCAGGGCCAGGTCAGTGCGGAGGGACACTGCTCCCACAAACTTGCTCTGGGGAGGATCTCTGGGCCCCTCTGAGGGGCTCTGGGTCTGTGGTCTTCCTCCACAGAGGTCTTTGCATCTGGGGTGCAATGGGGTCTTAGGGTCTGATGCCCGCCCCCCAACAATGCCAGAAAATTTTCTTCTGCATCTGGATAAATGTTCTGTGGGACCTCTTGGAATCTGTGGCTCCGCAGGCCCACAGGTCTCTGTTTCTGGGGACTCTCCCTGTGGGATCTTTTGCGATCAGGACTCCTAAGCAGCACTTCTCCAGCCTGGAGCCCCCTGCTAGCCACAGGCTTTCAGACAAGGGCCTCATCTGCAGGGTTGGTGTCCAGGCTCCTGCTCAGGTCTGTGGTCTCTGAAGGCCAAGGTCAGCAAGGTACACAGCACTCCAACTCAGGGACAAGGGGGAGGCCCCTCTTCCTTTGGCTGCTGGACTCCTGGCCGGGATTTCTGCGTCTCCCTAGCTGGGGTGACTTCGCAGAGATTTGGCTGTGAGCTTGGAAGGGGCAGCTGGCTGCAAGCAGATTTCTGGGGGAAATGGGTGAATGCCTCCATGAGGGTAATTGTAGCTGACAGATGCATGGGGGCCATAGGGAAAATAAGAACAGCCCAGGCTGCTTCGGGCCGAGCAAACAGATTCACATCCAGGCCCAGTGTGGGGAGGTGGGAAAGGCAGGAACTTACCCCCGGCTCCTGGGGGAGGCCTACAGAAACCTACCTTGCAGCCCAGGTTGGCAGCTTTGTTGGAGGAGACTTTCCTGGTGCCCCCAGGAACTATGCTTTTACCTTTGTACACCAAGGGTATGTCGCATGTGGTACCCACAGCCCTTACCTCTTTTCACATCTGTCTCGGCCCAAAAGACAGACTGAATCTTGGAGCAGGTGGTGAGCAGAGAGATTGGATCTTCCTTGTCTCCGGCCTATAGGATGGTGTGTGTTTGCCTGTATGTGGAGCACGGGACCCAGTGAGTGCCCCATAAATATCACCAAAAGAGAAGACAGCCCTCAAGAGGGCGTCTGAGGCATCACAGAAGCAGTTTGAGCAGGAGCAGTTAGTGTTTTTACGCGTCTCTGGCTTGAGGGTACCTGAGAAGGAAAGTTTGGTGAAATGGAGAAACAGATTCTGGAGCCTTTTATTTAGTAGAAACGTCAAGACTTGGTGGCAAATGGGATGTGGGGGGTCTGGGGGGGTGTCACGCACAGCTCTAGCTTAGGCAGTGCCACAGAGGAAAGCTCAGTTACGAGAAAGCGGGGTGCTGAGAGGCAGACAGAACTGGAGGGCCGGTGCTGACTGGGAAGGCCAGTCCTGCGGCTGAGGATGCTGTCTGGTCCTCGTTCCTCTTGTAACACACCCTCTTCTGGCCTGACTTCCTGGGCAGCGGTCCCTGTGGTAAAAGCTCCTCCCTCTCCGATCCCACCAAGGTGAAGGGAGCATGTGTGGGGAGAGGAGAAAAGATCACAGCTCCAGGTGTGGAGGCTCATGCCTGTAATCCCAGCACTTTGGGAGGCTGAGGCAGGAGGATCACTTGAGGTCAGGAGATTGAGACCAACCTGGCCAACATGGTGAAACCCTGTCTCTACTAAAAATACAAAAATTAGCTGGGTGTGATAGCGAACGCCTGTAATTCCAGTTACTGGGGAGGCTGAGGCACAAGAATCGCTTGAACCCAGGAGGCGGAGGTTGTAGCGAGCTGAGATTGTGCCACTGCACTCCAGCCTGGGAGACAGAATGAGACTCTGTCTTAAAAAAACAGACAGGCTGGGTGCTGTGGCTCACACTGTAATCCCAGCACTTTGGGAGGCAGAGGCGGGTGGATCACAAGGTCAGGAGATCGGCACCATCCTGGCTAACACGGTGAACCCCTGTCTCTACTAAAAATACAAAAATTAGCTGAGCTCGGTGGCAGGCACTTGTAATCCTAGCTACTGGGGAGCGGGGAGGGGGGAGGCTGAGGCAGGAGAATTGATTGAACCCGGGAGGTGGAGGATGCAGTGAGCCGAGATCGTGCCACTGCACTCCAGCCTGGGCAACAGAGACTGTCTTAAAAAAAAAGAAAAGAAAGAAAAAAAGAAGATGCCAGCAACTGCCCCTGAAGTGAGGGGGTGCAGGGTGAAGGGAAGCACATCCAGACCATCAGCCGCCCTGGATGCCTCTTCCAGCTCTGCCCAGGTGGGGAATAGGTGGGTGTGCTGAGAGCACTTAGGTAGAGCTCCCCCAGCGAGGGCTCCCTGGGGAAAATGCAGAGAGCTGCATCCATTCCCAGGAGGCGGAGGCTGAGCGTGAGCAGCCTTAATGCACTGCATTGGTCCTAGGCACTCAGTGTCCAGGGTGCCATGCCAGACTGAGGCACGAGGTCTTGGGCCTGTGGCAGCCAGGAGGGCACTTTTCTGTGGGAGCTGTCACATTGATTAGGGGCCTGCGGGGCTGGAGGCTTCTGCAGTGACAGGCAGTCACAGGCAGTGAGGCAAGGACCCTCTCCTGCTCATGTCCCCCGAGGCTGTCTGTGGGAGGAAGATTGGGGGATGGCTCTCCCCTCTCTGAGCCTCCTAACCAAGCTCTCGGTCAGAGGCCTCCTTTCTCAGCAGCACCCAGCTCCTGGAATTCTCACTCCCAGCCATGAGTGAGCCTCCAATACCTTGGAGGGGCACAGGTGGAGGAAGCAGCAGGAACCCCCACTTTGTCTCCCTCCTCCACCCCCATCTGCCTCCTACCTGGGAGGCCCTTTCATTCTTCTTCTTCTTTTGTTTTTTAAGATGGAATCTCACTCTGTTTCCCAGGCTGGAGTACAGTGGTGTGATCCCAGCTCACCACAGCCTCTACCTCCCAGGTTCAAGCGATTCTCCTGCCTCAGCCTCCCGAGTAGCTGGAATTGTAGGCACCTGCCACCACGCCTGGCTAATTTTGTATTTTTAGTAGAGATGGAATTTCACCATGTTAGCCAGGCTGGTCTCTCAACCTCAGGTGATCCTCCTGCCTCGGCCTCTCAGTGGGCTGGGATTACAGGTGTAAGCCACCACACCTGGCTACTTTCATTCTTCAGGAATGCATCTTGAACCCTCTTTCACCCCCCCTTGGCCTTCTTCTCAATGGGGGTGTGGCACAGAGACCTTCCTCAGAAGAAGGCTGAACTCCATGACCCTATGGACCATCACACACCCCAACCCCCAAATAACTTTAAGTAATTCTCCGACATCTGCAGAGAGACAGAGGTTTGCTGTCCTCTCACCCTAACCTCTGATGCAGATGTTGAACCAGCACAGGGCATTGGGAGGACAGCTGGGCAAGGAGTCATGATCTACCCCCAGCCCCACGTGGAGCATCTGCAGTGTGACATTCCCTCCTCACCCCGTTATCCTAGGGACAGATGATGACTTTCAGTCCTCACTTTATAAACTGGGAGAGTGGGGCTCAGGGCCATTAGGTAATACCCAAGGCCGCACAGTTGGGTTTGGGTCCTAGGTTTCTGACTCTATTTTTTTTTTTGTTTGTTTGTTTATTGAGACAGCATCTTGTTCTGTTGCCCAGGCTGGAGTGCACTGGCACAATCATAGCTCACGGCATCCTCTACCTCCTGGGCTCAAGCAGTCCTCCTCCCCTAGCCTCCTAAGTAGCTGGGACTACAGGCATGCCCTACCACACCTGGCTAAATTTTTATTTTAAAAAATTTTTGTAGAGACAGGGTATATTAGTCAATTTTCACACTGCTGATTAAGACATACCAGAGACTGGGCAATTTTCAAAGAAAGAGGTTTAACGGACTCATAGTTCCACATTGCTGGGGAGGCCTCACAGTCATGACAGAAGGTGAAAGGCATGTCTCACATGGCGGCAGACGAGAGAAGAATGAGAGCCAAGTCAAAGGAGTTTCCCCCCATAAAACCATCAGAACTCATGAGACTTATTCACTACCATGAGAACAGTATGGGGGAAACTGCTTCCATGAGTCAGTTATCTCCCACTGGATCCCTCCCACGACACGAGGGAATTATGGGAGCTACAATTTGAGATGGGATTTGGATGGGGACACAGCCATACCATACCATCACAGGGTCTCACTATGTTGCCCAGGCTGGTCTCGAACTCTTGGCCCCAAGCAATCCTCCTGCCTCGGCCCCCCAAAGCGTTGGAATTATAGGCGTTAGCCACTGCACCCAGCCTCAGGTTTCTGACTCTAAATTCTTCTTTTATTTTGAGACGGAGTTTTGCTTTTGTTACCCTGGCTGGAGTGCAATGGCGCGATCTTGGCTCACCTCAACCTCCGCCTCCTGGGTTCAGGCAATTCTCCTGCCTCAGCCTCCTGAGTAGCTGGGATTACAGGCATGTGCCACCATGTCCAGCTAATTTTTTGTATTTTTAGTAGAGATGGGGTTTCACCATGTTGACCAGGATGGTCTCGATCTCTTGACTTCGTGATCCACCTGCCTCGGCCTCCCAAAGTGCTGGGATTACAGGCGTGAGCCACCGTGCCCGGCCTGACTCTAAATTCTATCTCACACCATCTCTGATGCCTGGCTGAGGAGAGAAACATATATTAGGAGCAACTGAGCCATGTTTGAGAGTGGGGAGGAGTATGGCCCAGAGAGGACAGGCTGTCCCAGCAGATGATTCCACGAGTGACCTGTGGCCACTCCTCTGCCCTGTCCCTTGATGTGTGCTTAACTAAAAAATGGGAAGATGCCAGCCATCTGGCTAGGGATGGGGAGAGCAGCTTCTTAAAGCCAACCAGTCCGTCCTCTGTCTCTTGTAGAAAGAACCCAGCCATCCAATTCAGAGTGGACCTGCCCCACGGCCCCCAGCATCTATCGCAACATGACACAGGAAGGGAGAGGAGGGGATTTCTGAAATGGCTTAAGCTCTGGCTTGCTGAAATGGCCAGAACTTTGGTCAGGTAGTGCAAGGTAGACAGTACGGGAGACAGGAAAGCAGGGATAGAGTCAGACTATAGTGGATTTCAGGGCCAAGATGGCTGTAGCTGCACCACATGTCCCTGTGCCTTCCAGCGGGAGAGGGGTAGTGGTCAGAGTGGCAGGTCAAAGCTGGGCTCCCCTACTCTGCGCCCTCAGACCTCCCCTAGCTCCTGTTCAAATCAGCCCCTCCATCCCCTCTCCAAGTCTTTGACTGCAGAAGCCTCTGGCTGCATCCTGGGCCCCAGAGATCAAAGACCTTGAGCTCAGGTCATGCCTGAGTCACTGGCTTGATGAGCTTCTCACCCCCACTCCCTGCAGATGGATTAATTTCAGTCCCATCAGGAGGCCCCGGAAGCCCTCCAGCCTGTCCCCTGTTCTTCAGGATCTCCCTGGGTTGCCGTTTCTTCCCCAGTCACCACCTCCCACACACATACGGAGGCCTTTGGGTGCATGCTGCAAAGAAACTGAGCTCCCCCAAATCCACTGAGAAGTTCTTCTTGCAGTCTGACCTGCCTCTGCTTCCTGCCGCTTATTCTCCCTTGGTGGCAGGTGACACAAGCCCACGGGCTTCCTGAATATCATCACATCCCCCTCCCCCAGGTGTGACCCTGACCATTGGCATCCCCTTCCCCCAGGACCACCAGGAAAAGCAAGGCCGTCTGGGTAGAGAATTAGGGGGCTTAGCTCAGATCCCTGTCCTGGAAGGAGACAAAGATTCTGTCTGTGTCTCTGGGTGGGTTAATTAGCTCTGGGCTTGAGTTTCCTTCCTCTCCCCACACAAACAACTCCTCCCCCACAAACCCCTTTCCTAACAAACCTGTTTTCAGGAGCTGCTGCTGCCAGCTCCTCCCAGATCTTCTTTGTGAGTGTTGGCTGCTCCAGAGATTACAGGTTATTGTCTGGTGGAGACAGGATGCTGAGAGGGTGAGGGGCTAGTACTGGGACCTGGGCTTGGAATGCAGGACTGGATCCAGCTGTGGGCTGGCTGCCTTCTTCCCCCACTCCCCCTCCTCCCACCCACCAGGTGCTCAGGTCAGTGAGAGCCAGCTTTTAGGAAGAGGAGGGAAAGGAAGGTGCGAATAGAGGGGAGAAGAATGGGGGATCTGGGGTGGGCACAGGAGGGGTGTCAGCAGTTCTAGTGGGTGTCAGGAGTGTGGAGGCTCACGCCTGTAGTCCTAACACTTTGGGAGGCCGAGGCAGGAGAATCATTTGAGGTCAGAAGTTTGAGACCACCCTGCCCAACACGGTGAAACCTCCTCTCTACTAAAAATACAAAAATTAGCTGGGTTTGGTGGTGGGCGCCTGTAATCCCAGCTACTTTGGAGGCTGATGCAGAAGAATCGCTTGAACCTGGGAGGTGGAGGTTGCAGTGAGCCGAGATCACACCACTGCACTCCAGCCTGGGTGACAGAGCGAGACTCTGTTTCAAAAAAAAAAAAAAGGAAGTTGTAGCGAATCAGATAGAAAAACTCCCTGCTTTCCTTCCTGGCATTGCCCAGGTAGCAGATCCAAGGGTCCAGGCAGGACACTAGACTAACAGTGGCAAGACACCTAGATCCCTGCTCCCAACCCCACGTGGCCAGTGCTCTTAGATAAAGTGGCAACACCTCTCTGAGGCTCGGTTTCCTCGTCAGCATCAGCAGCATCCCCTTCTATTTACGGGATGGTGAAGAGAGGATGAGTGAGGCTGGGCAGGAACGGGCTCCTGCAGCAGCAAGAGGCAAGAGGGTGGCCGGAGCCGTCCAGCAGGCAGAGCAGGGCAGCAGCCCCTTCCCTGGAGGGCCCTGAGGACAAAGTCAGCCCTTCCAACGTTTGCTTCAGTGTAAGAGGCCCCAGGCATGGGACTCCTCCGGGAGTGGGCTGTGTGACGGATGCTACCCGGTACCCTCCCCCAGGTCCTGGTCTGCACATTTGTCCCCACACTTCTTCCTTGGGGGAAGAACATGCCCTGTTCTTTCCACCTGCAATGGGGATGGGGGAAACCAGAGAATGGGCAGCTCCTTCCTGGCAAAGAGAGACAGGGCCCAGGAATGATGCTGCTTTCCAGACAGAACCAGGAGTCCCTCCCTCGCGCCCTCCCCTCCTGTCCCTCACATCCCCCCCTTCCCTCTGTCACTCTGGCTGGGTTTCATTTGCTCCAGGTTCTGCACTCCGCGGTGCCTCCAAAGGCAGAGAATGCTCTTGGGTGAGTTCTGAGGACGCCTGGGCTGGGAGGTGGGGAGAGGGCTTAGGTGAGGGTGGTCTTCTCCCTTCTCCCCAGCCCAATTCTTTCCTGCTATCGTTGGCCTCCAAAAGTTGTCTGTCAGAGACGCCAGTAGCCAGTTGACTCAGCCCTTTTCCAAGGTCCAGGGCTGGGCAGGGAAGCCCCCACTCTGGCCGAGAACAAAGGCGGAAGGAGGGGCAGGAATGGTGGGGAGCTGGAGGGCCACCCTGCAGGAAATAGGGGTGCTGGACATCTGGGCAAACGCCTGTCCAGGGAGCCCGTGTCAAAGGTTCCTTGTATCAGACCTCACCTTTAACCGCCTCTGAGGGGCTGGGGGATGGGGAGACATCCGAGGGGAGTGAAGAGGGAGCTGTTACTGCAGCAGAGAAAGAGAAGCAGACAGAGGGAGATGGAAATCAGGGTGCCTCCTTCCTGAGATCTGGCCAGTGTACTGGGGTCTGCACTAATGCCCCCCGCCTTTATCCGTGGTCTCTCAGCTCACCTCTCCACACAGAGGGCTGCCTGGCCTTTTTTGAGGGAGAGAGCCATCACCCATCAAAGGGTGTTTTGGGGAACCCTTTCCTTGGGGGCAAAGACCTGGAGGGGAACTGGAGGCAGAGTTTCTCTTGTGACTGGGCTTTGGGGGTCTTCCTCCAGCTTGGGGGGAGTCTGCACATCCTGAGTGCTAGATGACCCAGAAGTGGCTCGGGGGCTCTGGAGAATGTGGGGGTGAACCCCCTGGCCATGGTGGGAGTGGGCACGCGGTGAGACTTGGCTCAACCTCCCACTCCCCGCTTTGGCTCTCTCTCCCCTGGACTCCCATATTCTTCGCAGAGTTTAGGTTTTATCCATGATGGAAATGGCAGTGTCAGTATTTTAGATGTGTTGTGTGCAGGCATGTGCCTCTGGGAGGACCCTATTGTCCACCCTGTGACTTGGGAATAGGGGAGGTGGGAGAAAGTGGGAAAGAGACTGTTTGGAGATATGCTCTTTTAAGTCCGACGTGCTTACTTTTGTAAGGGGGGTGTGTGCGCACACCGATCTCTGTATCTGCATATGGCTCTTTGTATACATGTATCTGTCCTTGTGAAGGTGTGTGCCACAGTGTGCCCATTGCAGTCCGCGGTCTGTATCTGTAAGGGTCTGCATGTTCATGTGCATCTGTCTCTCTGGGTATGTGTGTACACAAGCATGTCTCTGTTGCTCGTGCCCATCTGCTCTTGCGTGGCCGGTGTACCTGCCTTTGACTCCCAGCCAGCATGGGTATCTGTGTATCTTGGCATCAGTACCACCTCCATATGTATATGAATCTCGTGTATAGATAGAATACATCGTCTAACTGTGGGGAGAGGTATGTATGTGTGTGCCTTGATGTGTACACCTGTCACTATCCATGGATGATATGGGCCCCAGATTGTGTGTCTGTGCTCGTGTGCGTGTGTGTGTGTGTGTGTGTGTGCGTGTGTGTGTCTGTTTCTCAGTTGTGGTAAAATAGCAGGATATGGTTTTCCCAGATCCTCTCCCTTGGTGGCCGCCAGGGTGATGTTATTTCATAAGATGTCTGCTCTGTGCCCTGCCCCAGCCTTAGTTGGACCTTTGGGGGCAGTCTCCTCTCCTGTACTTGGTCTGGCTTGCTCATACCTCTGACCATACCCCACCCTCTTGAGGCAGTGGCCAATGAGCCATGGCTACTCCAAGACACTTACGGTGGCTGTTCTGCTGCAAAACGCCATCCAAGAAGACCTACCCGCATCCTGACCCTTTCGGGGTACAGAATTCTAGACCTCAGGGCTGTGTGGTGCCATTGGGGGGCAGCTGTGGGGGATGCGGCATCTCCCTTCATTGGAATGTATAGCCAGGAGTCAGGCGGCCACACGTGTGTGTGCATGTGACTCATGCACAATCCCACAGCCCTGGGGCTGGGGTTCACAGTGAATGTCAGAGGCAGACGGTGGGTGGCACAGAGCCGTGCTGCATGGAGGATGCTGGGGCGGGGGAGTTCCCAGCAGCCACTGGTAGGGTCAGGACCCCAAATCAACATGCACTCTAGGCCTTTTGCAGAAGAGCAGTGTACCCAATTGTGAGGGGACTGGAAGGCATTTCTGGGTAACTGTATGCTGTCTGGAAGGGGAGACGGGCCATTAAGTGCCTCCAGATTCCCTTGATCCACAGCAGCAGCCCTGCTCCCTCTCTGAATGGCCTCCACAACAGCACCTCCTTGGGTCTTCAGACCCATTTCTGTCCTGCCCTAGCCTCCTCCCCGGGTTGTCAGTCCCACTTTACAGATGAGGAGGCAGGCTCATAGCTAAGTGTCCAGTCCAAGGCCTCAGAGTTAAATATAACTGGAGCTCCATCCCAGGCCTCTGGACTCCATCCCTCCAGTTCTGGGAGAGTTGTGGTGCCACAACTGCACATTCCTCCTGCTGGGAACCTCCTCAGTTCACCTCTCAGGGTAACACAGACAGGGTTACCTGTATCTCAGAGAGTTATAGGAAGAGGTCACTTCCACCTCCCTCCCTTTTCCCCACTCTGTCAACCCCACTGCAAATAACTTGTTAGTTATTTGCAGTGGGGTTGAGCTTCCCAGCTCCAACTCCCTACCAGGTGGGAAGGTCAAAATTCCCAGCATTCCCCTAGAGCCATCCAGCATCAGGCACTGCCCCCACCCACCCCAATTCTTCATGAACCTGCAGCGCCCTGTTAACTTCCAAATGGATCCTTGCTCTGCCATCCCATTGCCAGGAGTGCGCGTCCCCTAGTAAAAGTCCACTTACCCATAATGCTGTGAACCCTCATTAACCCGCCCTGCAGACCTTCACCCGACCGCCCGCTCCTTCGTGATCGCAGCCTCCACCGCGCTCTGTCAGTCTCTGACGGCTGTGAGCCCCTCGAGGAACCCCGGATACACGCGCGGACCGAGTGAACCCCGGCCCCGCGCCGCCTGCGGTCTAGCCTCAGTGGCTCCTGCGGCGGCGGCGGGGGCCGAGGGCGGGGCCGGGCGGAGCGCGTGGGGCTGGAGGCGCGGCAGGTGGGCGCGGCCAGGTGAGCCCTGGGGACGCCGCCTGCCCTGCCCGCGACCCCGGCCAGCGCCGGCTGCTGGCGCCTCTTCGCCTGCGTTGCCGCTAGTGGCTGCTGTCGCTCCGTGGAGCCCAAGGAGACCGTGGCCAGAGCGTCCACCGCCCAAGATGGTGGTTCCTGTGTCTCCGTGAGTGCGAGCGGACGGGGCAAGGGCGCCGGGCCAGGCTGGGCGCCCCCTCCCGGAGCGGGCGGTATGGGCGGGTGGGGAGGCTCGGTGCCTCCGCGGGACCCACCAAGGGCTCTGTCATCATGCGCCCCCCGGAGGAAGTTCCCCTGCCCTCCCCGTCCCAGCCCCTGGATGGATGGGTGAAGGGGTGCAGGGGAGCCCCTTCTCACCAGGGCTTCCAGAGCAGGGGGCGCCCGGCCCTACTCTGCTGAGAGCTGGACTCCTCTTAGTGGGGTCCCACAGCAAGGGGCCCCCAGGAGCCCGGGGAGGAGGCTCGGGACCCACATCCTGGGGCCACATGAATGCCGTTTGAGGCTTACGTGCCGAGGGGCCCTTGTCAAGTTGTTCTGGCTCCCACCAGGCTGGTCAGGGTGTGGTGAGAGGTGAGGGAGCTGGGGGTCTGCGACAAGCGTGCCCTCCTGGTCAGCCTTGGTCACAGCTGGACCCATGTAGTTTTGTTTACACCTCACTCCACCCAGCCTGGTTCCCTGAGTTTGAGGTGGGGAGAATGTCAATGGAATTTGACCTGTTTAGAGTACTTCTGTCCAATAGAACTTTCTGGGATGATGAAATGTGCTGTCCAATGCAATAGCCACTAGCCACACTGGCTGCTAAGCACGTGAAAAGTGCCTAGCATGAGCTGACTGCTAGATGTTTTATTTAATTCTAAGTAATTGAAACAGCTGCATCTACAACAGCTGCAGTGGCCAGCTGCTGTGTTGGACAGAGTTGTTTTAGAATCTCTACCTTCCGGGGCTCTACCTACCTGCCCCTTTGTTCTGCAGAATGGACAGGATAGGCAGCTTCGAGGTACATGGAAAGGATCTGACACACTTCCATAAGGGGATCACCTTGCTCTTGCACCCCCCTTGCCCCCATTCTAAGATCCTGGGTGTAGTGGGGCTGGGCAAGGTCATAGAATCACAGGATCTTGGAAGGAAAGGATGTCAAAGGCAGTTGTTTTAATCACCCAACAGGTAACCAAGGGCTGGCTCCATTGCCCTCTCTGCCTGGGCATCTGCTCTTTCTTATTCACTGCCCAATTGTTTGGGGCACTTGCTGGGTGTCAGGCACTGTACCCGTCTCTGGGATTCAGACATGAAGAAGTTAGTTACCTTTCCTGCCCTCAAGGAATGTGCATGAGAAGGGGGGTGGAGAGAGAATGAAGCAAGAGAATTACATAGAGAGAAGCAGAGATTTATGACCGAGCACGGTGGCGCATGCCTATAATCCTAGCACTTTGGGAGGCTGAGGCAGGTGGATCACCTGAGGTCAGGAGTTTGATACCAGCCTGACCAACATGAAGAAACCCCATCTCTACTAAAAATACAAAATTAGCTAGGCGTTGCGGTACATGCCTGTAATCCCAGCTACTTGGAAGGCTGAGACAGGAGAATCTCTTGAACCTGGGAGGCAGAGGTTGCAGTGAGCCGACAGTGCACTCCAGCCTGGGCAACAAGGGTGAAACTTTCTCTCTCAAAAAAAAAGCAGAGATTTGTAATCTGTGGGGCATGCAGTGGAGAGAACAAACAGGGAGCAATGACAGAAAAGAAGGAGCCTCCTGGGAAAGGATGGTTAAGCTAAGGCCAAAGAGGAAATGGAACAGTCCAGCGTCCAGGTAAAGCATTGGGAGGGCAGCTGGGAACATTCTAGAAGAAGGGACAGCACATGCAAAGGACCCAGGGGATGGGAACCTGGCACTCTGGAGGAACCCAGAGAGAAGGGCGGTGTTACTAGG